GCAACTAAACAAAAGGGCTCAACTTGGACTTTACACTCCTTACGTAGTTTGATGTTCGTTCAGCACAAAAAACGATTACGGGGATAGAAAAAGGTATTATTTACCTTAGAAAGTCCATCCTCACATATTTCTGCATTAGTCACAAGATCTTTAAAAAGATCCTGCAAACATATTCAAAGCCATTAGGGTTTAAGAGCTCCGTTTTTTCTTTTTTTTTTTGCTTTTTTTTGAGTTAAAAAAAAAGCAAGAAGGAGGAGAGACTTACTCTTAAACCTTGGGTCTTAACCACCTCCTCCTCCGTGGGATGGATACGAGGTTCAAATCTCTTCTCGAACAACATATTGATGTGAGAATCAATATCTGCTTTGTCCTTAGTTTGCCTGTTTTCGTATTGTTCAAAATCTATATCTGCTTTTTTACAGAGAAAAGAAGCGAGCCCCGTACTACATATTAAAACCCAATCTCTTCTCGCGAAACAAGGCTCCAATCTTGCTACCACCGAGGCTAAAAAGTGATACATTCTTTTCTGGGGTTTTGGATTTTGGTTTTGCAGAGGATCGGTTTAGCCGAGAGAAAAGAAGGAGAGTTCTATTCTTATTACTTTTGGCTTCTCTTTCAGTCTTTTGCATTCTCCGCAAGAAGCCAAGGTCCAAATGAGACGAATGAAATTCAATTCGCGTGCCAATCTATTCCCAATCCTCGATTTTTCATTACTAGTAAATAGTTTCCTTCCGCCCATTTTTGTTTCCAATTTTTGATAGGCATTAACAAATTGAAATTGTCAAATGACAAATTGAATGTTAATTTCATTATCAAATTAGATAAAAATGAAAATAGTGACAGTGATAAAAAATAAAAATTGAGGATAAAAAGTGGAATAGGAACTAAATATAGGTTATACTGTTATGGTTATCATGAAAAAAGTATTCTTGATATATATCTATAACTACATTGTATTTCTATTTTTTATTTACAATTATTGATATTATTCCTATAGAGACAATTTGATTGATTTTGAACTTTATGCCAATGGAATAAATTGGATATTGATATTAGTAGTGATGGTTTAGATTATTTTGCATTAAAAAAGTGGCAATCATAGGATTGAAATTTAGGGATATTGATGAATATTGTAGTATATTAAGTAAAATATGATATTGTTATGAAATTGTAGGTAAGTTTTTGGGTATATGATGTAGCATTTATACTTTATACAATGGTATGCATCAGAAATATTTAGGTAAAAGAGGAACATTAGAACAAAGATAAGTGTTTATTTAGTGGTGATTTGGATGTTGATAAATAAGTAATAGTGGTAGAAAATAAATATAAATGAAATAGAGACTATAAATTATTTTTTTCCTTTACATTTTTGTTGTGAATTATAACTCAAGGGCATTATAGAAATTTTGAAAAATAATATAGCCTTTTGGGTCTAGAATGTTACTTAAATAGTGAAAATAGGAAAGGTAGGTATAAGTTTTAGAAATTAAGGGGAGTTTTCTGTAATTGTTAAAAACCTCAGGGGAGGTATGTGAAATTAACCCTTATAAATATCCCGCAAATCACACAAAATATCACATCAACAAGTCATCTTAATTTTGGTAAGTGTTGCACTTGCACCCCAAAGATTAAGAAGTATCAATTTTAGCCCTGCAGGAGAAAAAGGATGTTTTAGTAGTTTAGCCCTCATTCCAGCTTAATTTCTTTATGGTAGTTAATTAACACCTAACATTTGGAAGAATTCTGGCTATGAGGCCCAAGGATTATACATTTTAAATATTTGTGTCTAGCTAAAATTGCAATTGTTACTTTATCTTGAATATACATTGTCTAACTTCCTTTTCTGACGATGCACTCATTGTAGCCTTTGTTTAAAGAACACAAGGACTTAAGCAGTAATTAACAAGAAAAAAGGTACTAAATGCCATTTTAAGATTTTCATGTGCTATTTCTTAACATTCCATAATGACGTAATGGTACAAGGAAATTTCCCAAGGGGGGCTTTGCAAAAAAAAAAAAAAAAAAGAAAGAAGGAAAATGTTCAGTTATTGAAACTACTGGCCACTGTAAATCTTCAATTATGAAATAACAAAATTGACATGCTCTTTTTTTTTTGACACCTTTACCGAGAGCCTTTATCGAGTGATGCTGTTGGACGTATGTACGGTTAGATGGTCAGACCTTACATGCTAAATGAATGTGATAGGAGCCAAAGCAAATTCGTTTTTTGCCCACGCTAAAGGGTAGAGACTAAGGGGCAGAGAGTCTCAAATAGTGAGAATCACCCTTAGATGTTCTGCACGCTAGGTATTTGTAGAAATTTCTTGTAATCGTTTGTGTGAAATTAAGGTTGTGTGTTGCTGTAACTGTGTGCGGTTTTTGTTATTTTGCCTAAATACTATGTTTCGGAATACTTGCAAGTGAGTTGGTGTAGGCTGACTGGTAGGTACCACAGCCATTACGTGCATGTTGGCTAGCGAGAGTAAACACCGCGTAACACGATCCATAAACGTGACCATGTAGCATAGACTATACAAATGAAAGATTCTAGTACCCCATTTTGAGGTTTTTGTTTTAACTTCGTTTAGGTTTTGTTTGGATTGAAAAAATTGAAATTCATTCAAATCGCTCTAGTTATTTGAATTGCTTAAGAAACATTTGAGTTTTAAATTCACCAATTATCAAAATATACTTTAAATATAGAATAATGTATAATTTACAAATTCAAATACTTCATAAGTAATCTAAAGTATAAACAATTAGAGAGATATGAGAGGGTTTCAAAACCTCTCCGTCCAAATGCAGCCTTATAGAATTTGATGGAAATTGCCCAATTGGATCTCAATGCAAAGTGTTTCTCTCATGGATCAACGGCCTCATAAGTTAAATTTTGTCTAATTTAAACTGATTCGTATAATTTTTTCCATTTTTAATATAATTTCTTACAATTCGGGTATAAATTATTTATTTAAAAAATTGGATTTAAACATACAATTAAATTTACAATTATACTAAAAATGGTAAATATTCAAGCAAAATGTAATCAGAATTACATGAACTAATTTGAATTCGACTAAATTCAACTTGTGAATGCCTTAATCCTTCTGACAACTAATTCATGCTACTATCCGTTAATCAATCTCCGAATCAGGCGGTGGAGAGAGAATCCAATTTACGAAAGGTTTCTCATAGTACTTTTTTGTGCTGCGTTTCGGAAGGCAATTAAGCGTAAGGGGGAAAAAGAAAGGAGTAGGTAAATCATGATTTTGGAACCACTGAGCTTAGCCTAGTGGCCACCAGGGAGGGACTTAAGTCCCTCCTTGGGATGTAGGTGAAGGTTCAAACCTTACCTGCAGCAAAAAAAAAAATCTAAGGGTAGCCCACTAGCCCCTGACACAAGCCTCCTTAGACTCCCCCTTCCCCTAGATTATGATAGAGTAGGTTATACAATTTATTGTTGTTGGCAAAAAAAAGGTAAATCATGATTTTGGGTTCACCCAGTAGCTGGTGGCTACCTATGACTTAGCCCGCCCATTACAACTGTTCTAGGGACTGATATTCCTCGGGCCCTCGCGTGTTCCATTTCACGGCAGAGATTTTAAAGCACCAAACTTGAAAGGAGAGAAACTACCAGCCTTTAGGTTGGTAGCCACCATCAAGCCATGAAGGTTTGGACCCTTCGGTGAACCCTTACTTCCATCAATTGTCACAGTTGTGGCTCTCTAAATCCAGATGGGTGTATTATGCATCCTTCTAGTTCGATAGTGGTTCAATCCCCACCGATTTCTCTATAGGTCCAGTTGGGTCCTCCTCTAGAATAGGTTAGAATAGGAGTAGAAGTAGGTTGGGACTTGAAAGGAAAGAGAGAGAGAAAGAGGGGGAGAAAAAGCACTTATGATTTTTTTTTCTGGATTATTATCACTTTACCCCTTAAAGTATATCATTACTATCAATTTTATCCCATAATATTATATTTTAGTCACTTCACCTCATAGGTAATTCAACTCAGCATGTTAATAAATTTTTAACAAAAATACATTTTATTTTATAGCATTACTATGTTGTTATTATCGTTTTATCCCTTTAAATTATAGTGATATAATCACTTTACTCTCTTCTAGATATTTTACCATATCATTAATCTAAAAAGTATGTTAAAAAATGTTTAAATATATTTACCCTTTTTATATATAAATAAAAATAAAAAGTTGGAATAATTATTCTTCCTTTTTTCACTCTAAGATTTCAAAAACATAAAAATAAAAGAGTTTTCTCAAATTTCTTGTTTCACACTTATTAATACTTGAAGAAAACGAGATAGGATAGAAGGAGATAAAAAATTAGATTTTACAAAGAAAGAAAATAAGGAAAAATATAATATTATCTTATTACTTTAATGTCCTTGAAATTAGGATTGGAATTGGGTAATAAACAGAAAAGTAAAGTATTTTTAAAATAATAAAAATATTAAATTCTTTCTTGTTTGTATTAAAAAAAGGAATTGAGCTCTTTCTCTCTCCCTTCTTTTTTTTTCAATATTAATAAGATTGCCAAGAAGAAAAAGATTAATGTTTTGAGTTGACCATATGATATTTAGGTGATTAAAAAAAAGTAGAGTGCAATTAATATTTTATGTTTGGATAGCAACTTTTTCAAAAAAAAATTTCACTTGCATCATAAATGCATTTTTCAATTTACCTTTTTATATTTTCAACCTTTTTTTTATCTTACATACATCACATTATAAAAAGTGTGACAATAATTATTCCAAATAATTATTTGGAATAATGTTCTATCCAAACAGATAATGCTACGTAATCCCAACGAACTAGCAAGGAACTCGCTCTAGCTCGTACTCCCACGCAGAAAATGGCTCCACGGAGGCCGCCATCTCGTTCAAGAAACAGCCACGTGCATACCCATATTCTCACACGTGTATCTCTTACCTCTTTTGTCTTGCTTGGTCTACTGCTCACTGCGAGAAAAATGGCTTTGTCATGTTTGCCAGTTGCACCACTACTAACTACAAATACATACATTCCTATTTTTTCTTCTTCTCACAATTGTTGTCGAAGCTTCATCACGCCCACCGTCCAGAGCAAGAAGAAAGAGAGAAAGAAAGGAAACAATGAGTAGCAGTAGTAATTTGGAGACGCGATCAATCATTGATGAGCTGCGCAACTTCGATAAGAGTGGTCTATTTGATTTGGGCCACCCTCTTCTCAATCGTATTGCTGAAAGCTTCGTAAAAGCTGCTGGGGTAAGTCTTATAACGGTAATTTTTTTCTACGAAACAAGTTTTCAACACATTTTGTAGTGGTAGTGGTAGTTAGCAGCAAGAAAGATTAAATTTTGATTTCCGTGTAGTGGTAGTTAAACTAGAATTCAATGCTGTTGTGTAATTTTGTAAATCAAAGACATGCATAAACAAGATACTTAGTTTTTTATTGACAAAAAATCCAAAAAAAAAAAAAAAATAATGGCAGATTGGTGCAGTTCAAGCAGTAGCACGCGAGGCTTATTTAACAGCTGTTGAAGGTGACATGATCTCCAGATTTCATCCTTATAGACCATTTCCTTCTTCTTTTTCTTTTTTAAATTTGATTTTTTTAACCGATCCTTTTGGGAAAATTATCGAGTGGAAAAAAAAAACTGGAAGGATGTGATTTCTGGCTGCTTCCTTTCTTTAATGTCTTGGTACTTCTCCTCTTTTCCTCATGTTGGATTTTCATGTGATCTAACGGTCAGGTGCAGGTGCGGATACTAGTGGTATACCGCCAGAAATTTCTGCTGCTAAAAGGCATCGATTTCCCGACCTCAGAGGTATAGGTTTAGTTTATGGCCCCTTAGATCAGGTACTACTAGCTCATGCTCCATGCTACTTGTACACTAATGGATTACTAGGGGCTGCTAATCGAATTTATCCAATTAAGCATCTTAAGGTGTCCACAGACCATAAATCAAATGCTGCAGTATTTACCTTTGTAACAATATTTAAACTGCCAGATTGGCTGCAAAGTATCTCCCATTCTGGTGTCATGGTGTCTATTGAAGGTGATCTAAACGGCAGAACGCTCTGGCAACACCAACTGGGGAATTTCCTTAATTCCAGTAGACTCTTAATTTCTAGGCTGATACATGGAAGAATTTTCACTTCTAGCTTGATATTGTCATTGCCCATTACCTATTAATTTGTAGGAGAGTAAAATTATAATGCTTGCACTTTTCAAAATCTCGATTTGCTACATGTGAGATTTGCTATGTGTTTGTGATTGTAATAGATGCTAAGTAATTCTCGCTATTTTATCAAAAAAGTAATGATATCTTTGGTATTGACATATAGTGTTTTGTCAGGAGACACCGTCAAATCTGATTTTACAGTTTGTGGAATGAAAATTTTTCAAAAAGATTTACCAGTGGTTGCAACTCATTCATGGAATATGGGTTTTTTTAGTGTCAGAATAGAGAATATAACTTCTCCTATACAATTAGATAAAATATCTGAGACTGCAGATCTTTTATTTCTATTCTCAAATAACCCGTCACTATCTGCTGGAGAGTGCCCATTGAGTATTACCTATAATAATTTTTTGTTGGACTTATATATCAGTCTCAGCACGAGACAATGCATTTCAACATTATTGATCATTCTTTCATGGGTGATTGTTTGACTCTATTATCTACCTTTTGTTTGAAACTAGCGAAAGAGGACAGCGCTTTAAATTTTCTTGACATTTTTTTAGCAGGATTGTAGTTTGCAACTTCTTATGATAATGAGTTTGTGGGGGATTAATGGGACAGTTGAAATCAGATACAGGAATAAGCACCATTTGGTTTTCAAGTGAACTATATATTCTCGAGAACCCCGCAAGTCTTAAGCAAATTTGATTTTTAGGTTGGAGCATTTAAGATGTTCTCTTTCTTTCTTTTTCTTTTCTACTATAATGCACTATATAATTGCTTCCCCCTCGTAGAGAAACAGGTAAAACTCTTATTGCAAAAGAGCTTTGTCTACTTCACTATGCCCTTGATATGCATTCATCATGTAGATTGACTTTTTAGAAGTTTGTTTGGCCATGTATGCCAATGGAAATTATAGCTTTCCAATTAAATGGAAGTATCCTTGTATCTTTTGGTTTTATCTTAGTATTATTATTATTATTATTATTTTGGTGGAGAATTGACGTTTTGAAATTTCACTCTTCTCCAGACATATTAAAATTGTTCTAATTCCTTGCAGGAGAAACTAATGCAAAGACTGTGGAAGCTTTGGTATGTTTCACATAGTTATTCTATTCCAAATGACAAACTTATTCTATTTTGTTTTGAATCAAGTGATAAGTTAACCTAGAACATTTGACTTTGCCTCATGTGCTAATGCAAAAAAGCCACTCATGTTCTTGTAGCGATGTCCATTAGCTTTTTATTATGATTGAATCTTTATTAGGTCTTAAACAATACAATTATATTGTTGGTAGGCATTATTGATACTCATCTTTACGGTTCTTCCTCTGTGTAGGTTAAGGGCACTGGAAAAGAATCTCTACAATGGGGTAAGAGTGCCAATAGATTTTATCTTTCCTCCTCTCTCCACACCCCCCACCCCCCCCCAAAAAAAAAACGATTGAATTTGTATACTATTTTATAGGAGAAATATCATGCTGGCTTCATGTCATATAGCAACCGCATGACTTTAGGGAATATGTTTGTATATATTTGATTCTATCTAGAATATGTGTGCGTATGATTTCGAGTAAGGGGAAGTCTTGGCATTTTTCTAGGTGTAGAAAAAGTGGGAAATAAAATTGTCTGGTGGGTGTGGGTTAAAAAATAAGGCATAATCACCTTTTCTGGGCTCAGCATACGGATTGAGGACTTGGTAATGATCTTTTGTTGAAATTCTCTGCAGGATTGGCTGCTGGAATGTATTCTGGTCTTACATATGGATTAAAGGAGGCTCGTGGAGTTCATGATTGGGTAATCATGGTGCATTTTGATTTGCATGGTCATGACTTTATGGGGATACTCGTCTCACTTTTACTTTCTCCACTGCTTTTTGTAACATCTAGCTAAAATCCTTCAAGATAGAGCAAGGTTCAATATCTTAGCACATTTTTATATGCATAATATCGGGTTAACCTACCTCTGACGGGTTTTAACGTAATTCTCGCTCTAAATTAGCTGCGCTGTACATTTGGTCGCTGAAGATGTTGAAGAGAATATCTGATCAGATGGTAACAGGAGGAGTCTATTCAATGCTTGTTGCATTGAGAAGATTATGCAATAATCATTCTGCATCTTATTTTTAAAGAACTAGGCAAGAAATATGCTTGGATTTGTAATATATGATGCATAATACCTGAATCTGATATATGTTAATAATCTAAAGCCGTTTTCCGTATATGCTGAAATTGCTGTGTTGTCCATCTCGTCCGACTGAGTCTTTTTTTCATGCCTGTCCAGAACTGAATCAACTTTTGTTTTCGAGAACTAGGCAACAAAAATGCTTGAATTTAATGTATGACCAGCAGTAATGCCTTGTCTCATGATCTCACTGCAGAAAAACAGCGCATTAGCTGGAGCTGTTACTGGGGCTGCATTGGCACTAACGTCAGATGGTCATTCGCACGAGCAAATCGTGCAGTGTGCCATAACTGGTGCAGCCATATCAACTGCGGCAAATCTCCTCACAGGAATATTCTAAAAGTTCAACGCTTGCTTGCTGAGTTATTGGACTGGGAAACCCAGTGATCGTATATTAAACGAGTAGCCATTTGGGTAGACATATGTCCTTTCTGCTGCTTGAATCAAGGATTGACTTTTGATATTGTATGATGAAGTTGTTTTGTAGCAGTACTAGTTTTGCATTGGACAAGTGTCATAATTAGCACATCTTTTACGTGCTTACAAATTGTTAAGAAGCCTCGTGGAGTTCCCCCCAGTCTATCACTTCATATCGTGACTTCACATTATTTTGAGTCACTTTTGGAGAACCCTTTTGATTGAGAAGCTTGGTGAAAAACAATATCCACTCCAAGAGTGGGATCTTCTCTTGGCTCATGCTGAATTTGCTTACAATCAATTCACTAGTAAAGCCACCGGTTGTAGTCCTTTTTTCTTGTGGGGAAATTTAAACCAAATTCATGTGTTGATACTCTTGGACGATGTAGTTTGAACTTTGAATCTCCGAATTGTGGAAAAAAAAAAAAAGCATCTGCTCTTCACCCATGGGGATAGGAGATCTATTGGTGCAACTCATCTACCAGATCGTTTACTATACGTTACGTGGCTGTACCTTTTTTCCCAAAATGTAAAAAGGAAAAGAAAAAGGAAAAACTTGTCAAGTAGGTATGATTTCTAAGTAAGCAAGTGTTATGATCCAATTGCAACGTACGGAACTTCGATTTCACGTTATAAAAAAATTTTACAAAAGGGTTTACGAATTGAAGTCAGCTGGATGTTTAAACTGCAATAATTTTTAGAATAAATGTGTAAAAATTTGCTATTTTTTGCTTGATTTATTCTTACCTCACATGAGTTCACAACTAAGCAAAATAAATTAAAAAAAAAAGGTTTGACTAATTGTATAGCCGTTAATATATTTAGGATCGCTTTAAAGGGTGGGCACTCGTTAAGATATAATTCAGGTATTAGATTTTTAAAGAGATAAGATTAATTATGGAAAGTGTATAAATGCAAAGTAGAGTAATAATTATTATTAATTTTCTTCCTTATTATGTGGTAATATATATATATATATATATATTTCGCTCAGTTGGTATAATTTGGTATGCTTTTGCTCTTAGGCTCGCGCATTGGAATTTTACCGGCGTATATGTTCTGTATGGTCGTGGCGGTGAACATTAGTAGGTTTCTTATTGACAAGGAACTAGCGGAAATTATGAAAGCACAAGAGGAGGAACGGTGAGATCTTTTTCTCCATAGCATTTCCTCTTTTTAAAAAAATATATTCTCTTGAGGTCATGGGAGTAAGAATTTAATTTCTTCGTGCCCAGGTCTACCCGCATTCGTAGGAATGGTGATGCTGCAGGCCATTTGGAGAAGGCCATCGTAAATAATGCTAGTCTTCTCAGGCAGCGATGATGATGTCTATTGTCTTTTGATGATTTTTGGGTCTTTTATTTGGTCTAATGAAACTCTGCCGCCGTAGTGGTGGGATAATGAAGTGATGTTGAACTTTTTCAAAGCAAGTGGTTTTAATTACTAGTGTTGGGCTGCGCAAGTTGCAATGTAGTACGTGTATTTCCACTTCTCTCACCACCAATCTGGCTGGCTGTCGCATTTTACTTACCCCCACGCTCAATCTGCATCTGTTGTTCTAAAAAGCCTGGTTGTCTAATGCTCGTCTCGCTTCTCACTACTGTAATTGTAGGGGTCAAAAAACGACTCCTGCACGGTCTGTGGTTCTCAAAGAGAGTTGTCATAACCCAACCACCGGGGTTCTTTTTCCGACACAGACAAAAGATGTACGCTTAATGAGTAAAGGCTCACATGATTCTACTATACAAAAGAGTTAACCACACTGAGGATTAATTCGCTCCTCGTCTTGAAGTATGCCTAAAGCATAATATCACTAATCAAGGATTCTGTTGTTGTCCTCGGTTTTCTTGGACTTGATCTCTTTTCGTTTTAGCAGTTGGTGGATGGGAATGCGCACCGTCATTCCCTCCCGCTGCTTCCTCGTGGCCTTGATGATAGCAAGTTTGACAGTAGTTGATTTCCTGAGCTTCGATCATTTAGTGCCCATGCTACCTCCACCTGATTTTGTCTACTTATTGCAATGATCCCCATTCCGACTCTTGTGTGCTTCTTTCTGCTCTTGGATAGCTAGCTATTTGAAGTTGAATACCTTCGTTCTCATCTGGCTACTGCTGCTGGATGCTGTGTTGTGCCACAAGGCCTTCGAGTTTGTGTTTTTGTTTGTCTATTGCAATCGAACTTAAAAGCAGCCTATTCTGCTGTTACCATTTTAATTTCTCTTTTGAATAAACAACATCCGATTCTATTACCATTGTTAATACAGAGGCACAGCGGATCAAGGGCAGGTGACGGACAACTGTTCGTAGCTGTGATAATAACTCAAATGACTTTCATCCTACAAGTTTATAATCATTCGAAAGTGTTGGAAAGGTATTAACACCATTCTGGACCACGCCTCCTCCCCCTTTCATAACTGGTAAGCAGCGAATCCACATGGTATTTGATATTGACATTATCGTATTTCTTAAATCTGAAAAAAGAAAAGAATGACAAAAGCATGTTTTGTCCTGAGCCCCAAACGTCAATTACAACCCTCAATTGGAAATCTCAATCAAACGCTCCAATCTCTTCCCTCAGGCAACCTCTACCCGCCACCCCAAGCCACTTGCCCACACCACCATCTCAATTTCTGGCAGCCTATCGCACCGTTCTACTTAGCCCACTCATCTAACTGACAACTGCCCTAATCCATCACTCTAAGCTGCTCCCAACATCCAAATTACCCTTTCCATGTATCTGTGGGATTCCAAAATCCTCGGGATTGGCTGTTGTCCGAGCCAATCTATTCATTCAGATAGCCAAATGTTTTTGGAGCTAATATTTCAATTTTCCAGCAAGTAAAGATTATAATGTACAAGTTCATACAAACTATTTCCTCCCCAAGAAAAAAAGGGGGGAACTTCCGCAAACTACATATTACACGGATGTGAAACTGAAAAATTAGCTTTAAGCCATCCTCTCTCGAGTGCACCTACACCTACCGTATCTTGCAAGATCAGGGGACACCCGTGCAGGGCAATTTTATTGCCCTATAAGTGCTACATAATTAAAAAGCATAAAAAGTCAAAATTATGTGCTTCCAAAAATAATAAAAACAAGGGAAAACTATAGCTAACAAATGTTTACAAAAGAACCAATAAGTCAAATAAAATGTAAAGGAAAAAACACTAGAAAGGAAGGATGATTTCTTAACACCTAAATAATGGCACTGTACAATATCCTCTCTTGAGTGTTGATGGAATGGTTTTCGCCGGTTCCTGTCTGTTAGTCGCACGCCCAAAGCCAATAGACCATTGGCGCCAATTCCACCAATCATGTAGGCAGTGAGCACAAAAGGAAGCAAAAAGATGTATTTCAAGATCCATTTACAGCCATCTCTGGTGATGCCTTCGGTATCAATGGACCATCATCTCCATGTTGTCCGTTATCCGGAGAACCACACAAGCCATCTGTAAAGCACCTAGGAGAAACTTCTTCTTGGTCAGCAAGATTGTCCACATCTGAGCTCTTCCCCTGGTCAGAAGAGCCTTTATGCCCCTTTTCTTCATGATTTGCTTCAACTGGATTCTTGCCTCCATCTGTTCGGAGAATATCAGGAGCACTGCTGATTGTTTTCTTACCGGGTAATACAGCCTGACTTAGGGTTGAGCACAAGGCAGCAAATACACCTTCATTTGGCTTTGAGCTTTTATGTGATCGCTGCAGCTTTTTAGGTTCAGGCTCATCCTTGGTAGCCAATTTGCGTTTCAACCGGAATGATTCTACTTCATCATCTTCACCAGAATTATCTGCCCGTTTTCTTGATGGTGGTTTGTAATCTTCATCATCTTCATCATCATCATAGTCAACTAGCCCACCAGACCTTCAACATGACGAAAAGAATAAAATAAAATCCAGACTGTGGCATGTTAATAAGGAGACTTGACATCAAATAGAGGTTAATACCTTGTAGAAGGATAGGTTGTAGCAGAACCATTAGGCAAATTGGGTTGGGATTGTGCTCTCTTTCTACTTGGCATAGATGCTGATGCTGAATCTTCTTCATCACTATTTAAAACCAAATAGAAAGGATAATGTATTAACCAAATTCAATGAACACTCACCAAAATTTCAAGTTTTGCATCAACAAAAAGCACACACCTGTCGTCATTGAAATAATCTTCCTCTTCCTTCTCGAGAGCACGATCGTCAATTCGTTTTCTGGGGTCTAACACATTAGTGTTACTTCTCAATCCAGCATTTTCAAGCGCCTGAAATAGTCCATTGCAAACTAAACACAGTGACCCAAAGGCAAGATACAAAAACCAAGATGGGTACAAGTAGTACCTGTTCATATTTAACCTTCAGCGAACGTATTGATGGCAAATTATCAAATTGGGCTAACTGTTCCCAGAAAGAATCAACTAAGTACTTCAACAATATCTTCAGGTTCTCCTGCAAAGAACACACATTACAACAAGATAAGCATTTGTCCTGCTACATCTATTTTTGTCCTGCTACATTACAATAAGATAAGCATTTGGCCTGCTACATTACAATAAGATAAGCATTTGTCCCCATTACCCTGTTTAGAAACTAGATGTTCCATGTAAGAATACCTGAAAAAGAGTTTCCACCTACAATTACTATTTTCTACCTCTCTAGACTCATGCACAGAAAAGACCAGTTCTACTCAGCAGGAGAATTCATGCTTAGCCAAACTCACCATTTCCATCCCAGTAACTTTCCTTTCCTGACCGAAGAACATGAAAAAACTTAAAAGCAAGAAAATGAGTACCTTTCTGATATACTCAAAAAGTTCCAGAACGGCAGAATTGAGCAGATTATAACGACTGCCATTACTAACAAAAGCATCAACAATTGGTTTCAACAGGTTATTCTTCACAATATGAGACAACAGATTTTCGTCCTGCAAAATGCCAAAAGGTATCACATAGCCGGTGAAAGTACAGCAGAACTGCTATATGTTCCAGTAAAATTTCTAAAACAGAATTGAGTTTATTAAGGAGTAAAACCCCTAGCAACCAATAGAAAATTCAACTATTTTTGCATTAAATTTTGCTATTGCAGATAAAACAAACTTACATTGCGTGAAATAAGAGTTCTAATAAATCTAACAGCAGCTACTACGAGGTACTTTTCTCTTCGGTGTGTCAGAAGCAAAACTTTATCAATCACACTATTGAGAAGAAAGTTACACCTGCAAGATAACATTGTTACGACACCTATCTGAGTCTCAATAGGATGATTTTATGTATGGGGAAAAGGTTACAAGAATTTACTTTATTCTATACGGGTGGTGCAAAACGCAAA